ATGAGGTGTCTAATGTCTGCCCATCCCTAAGGCTGTAGGACATCTTGTTGAAAAGTTTAAGAGGACCCATTAGCCCTGTCTAGTTTTCCCCTACTTAATTTTTGGTGTATTACATCCAGTCTCCTCACTTTCATTCTCCTAGATTCTTCAGAGCAGTCTCTGTTGATTTGTTTACTTCTAGTTTATTTTTAAAAGACAAACCCCCAATGGACATAAGCTCTCAAGTCCCTTTTGAAAATGCTGTCTTCTCTGTAAGTGCTTTGTTTGTGATCCTCTCCAATCCTTTAGGCTATTGTTTACAAGCTGGAAGGCATCTGCACTTGGGCTAATCATGCCGAACGCCAGCAATTCCCCCAGCATGATTTGTTGCACAAGCCAGTGGGAGCAGGGTTTGTTTTGATTACATTTAGTACGGAAAACCCACATTTTACTCATATCAGCCTGACAAAACAGGGAGGCCTAACCCAAAATCTTCAGAGAGGAACAATAATCTGGTCATTGATTTCTGTGGCATCTGGGACCAGCTCAGAGATCAAGAGCTCTGATGGCAAGGGTGGTGTCTTGGGAAAGCAGGTAGCTCAGGAGCCAAAAATATTTAAAAGTGTATGCAAGTCATTTGCTCTGGGATGGATGAACCTAGCAGCCTGCCTAGTGCTTTACTTCTCAAAGCTCTGCAGCTCCTTTCTGACATGCAGTTAGTCAGGCTGGGAGCCCCCAGCTCTGCCCTCACCAGCCATCACCTCGGGCTGATGCTGGCCTCCCCCAGTGCCCTCAGCTGACAATTCAGGCTCCTTCACTCATTCTGAATGATGGTGATGTTTTTATCCTCAGCCTGTGCTGATGCTTGCCTCCAGGCATCAGATGGGTGTCCCAATTTTTCTGCTTGTGAAAGCTGGGAAGAAGTGCCCGAGGGCTGCTCCCTTTGGGGCTGCCATCGAACTGCTGGGGCACGCAACTGCACTGCAGGATGGCTGTACAGGTCTGCCAGGTGCAGACCCCTCTGTCTCGAGAGGCCCAGCATAGTTCTGGGAGCTCAGCACAGCTGTCCCTCAGCCAGCCACTGGCTCAGCTGGCTTGGGCTGCCCCTGTGCTGCTGAGCCTCAGGCTGAGCCTAGGCTGGCTTGTTCCCACACTCCTGCCATAGCAGAGGTCTGCTCTACAAGGCACAGAACTCAAAAGCTCCACCTGGGTCCTGCCTCTCCCGACTCTGCTTCTCCTCCTCCAGAGGTGCTCCATCAATCACCTTAAATCCCTTTCTGTACCCACACAGAGGTTAGCCTTGCTGGTGGCCTGTGGCAGAGATTTCCACAGCTTAAGCTACTACATGTCACATGAAGAAACGTCTCCTTTTGAGTCTTGAAGTATTTGAATCTTGAAGTATATTTCATCAGATGCCTCCCTGGATTTTTAAGAAAACACATGGTCACCTACTCCATGGCATTTAGGCCTTACAGATCTCTGCCACAGACCTCAGCCATCTCTTTTCTGGCTGAAGAGTCCTACTATCGAGCCAACCTTTGCACAGGAAGCGTTTGGAAGTACTTTGCTTTGCCTGAATCAAAACCTCAGCTCCGCCAGCCCCAGCTGAGATCAGAAGGCAGCAGGAGCCTGCCAAGACCCAGGCAGCTCTGCAGGGAGGCATCAGGAGTTTCAGAGTGACTCTGCCACATCTCCCTCTCCCTCCGACACCTGCTTTCTCTCTGAAGGCTGCCCTCAGTAGCCCAGCCTTTGCACCAGGGAATGGCACAGGGCAGGCAGAAAGCTCCAGTGCGTGCAGTTTTAACTGTACAGATGCCAAACATCTAAGGAACTGGGGCAAAATGAGCTCAGTCAGGCAAAGCCACCACATTCCCCTAACCGAGGTGCATTGTCAGTTAAGGGGTTTTGCACACTTAAAGACCAATAACACAAATACAGGTTTTCAGAGGGACATCAGGGTAAGGGTCAAAACGGAGATCCTGTGTGTACACAGGCTTTATCTGAAGCTTGACTACCTAAGAGTTCATTTCCCTATCAATGAAGATGAGCAGATGTTAACACATTTTTAAAGTGTTTTTGCACAAACTTGTGTCTTTTGGTGAATCCTGATCCCTAATGACATACAGACCTTCATGTCAGAGGTAATCAAGTATTATTACAAGAGCTGATGGCTGTGGGGCCCCTCCTGAGCACACACATGGCTACATATGGAAGTTATTAGCAAGTTCCAGTGAAGAATTTCGGGAAATTAACCCTTGGGGCCCCAGAGCATTACCAACAGACAGCTGGTTGGGAGCAGACAAAGAGCAGTTTCCTGCTGGATGCCTGCAGCATGTGGGGACTGAGATCCAGACCCTTCACAGCATGGTAGAAGAAGCCCCTCTCACAAGCACTAAACTTTTCAACTTCTGCTGTTAGGAAGAACACTTGAAAAAAACCATCTGCAAAGCCTGTGTAAGTTTCCTCAACAAAGTGAAATGAGTCAGCTGGAGAAATGTATAACATAACATATAAAAATGCAAACAATTTTCTTCTATTCCCCAAATGGTGCTCAAGAGGTTGTGAGGAAGTTTGCAATTTCTTTTTAAGTCCCCTTAGGAGCCACCAAAAGAAACATTTGGATACAGACCACCAGGAGCTACTCCTACGTGACAGAGGGACCCATTCAGAGGCAGGGTCATTAAAGTGAACGTCTCCCTCTCTAATGAAAGCAGCAGGATAGTGTCACCCCATGGAAGTAAATTCTTACCCTTTTCCTTTGTATATCTTTTTTCTCAAGAGCTGAAAGAAAAAGGTTTCATTTCCAACATCCAGGCAGAGAACGAAGGATTCTAATGTTTGCCTCAGCCAATGCACTCTTCACTTTCCTGTTCTTTCTACATTGATTTCCTTTCTTGCACCAATCCTGATCTGCAGAGTGACCTCTCCTTGGGAATAATGAGGATACTCACACATGATGTGCTTTCAACTTCCACAATATAACAATGCTTGGCAGTAATTCACTGCTTTTCATCCACAGATCTCAAATCAATTCGCTGCAGCACTGCATGGAATTGACTTACTTGTAAGACTGAGACAACTGCTTGCTGCGCAATTAAACAAACAAAAAAAAAAAAAAGAAGAACAAAATAAAGTAGACTTTATTAAAATCCAAACTATTTCTTTCTCCCATGGTGTGATTTTCCTAAAGTGCAATCCAGGCTGCAAATAGGGCTCCTCTGCTGCCCCCAGCTACACAACCCAAGATGCTCATTTGCGGCCAAATGAGAACAGTTCACAGCCAGGTCAGAGCAATACTGTCAGAAAGCTCTTCCCTCAGTGAGGTATAACCGTGGCCAGAAAACAGAAGCATTCCTGTGCTCAGTTCTAAACATGGAAGAAATTATACTGCTCCTCCACCCCCCTGCTTTCTGAAGGGAAGGCAGGAAGGGAGCCAAGGCACCTCAGCAGACACCTTCAAGAAAGCAAAGGATCGAGGGGCGGACATGATGCCTGAGCCAGCAAATCCAGTCCCACTCTTCCATGGCAGAGAGGGAGGGCAGCTCTGTGGCTGACCCTGCTGAGGCAGGGGCTTCACCCGAGAGCCCGGGAATGGTCCCAGAGGTGCCCAGAGCCACCTGAGATGCTGGCAGCAAGCAACACTGTGCCCACACGTCAGCCACCCCAGGGCACACGCCCTGCAGAAATGAACAATCCCAACTCCTGCTTTTGCACTGGGCTGAGATGCAGTAGCTGCAGGGCCACCGAGCTGCCTCTGGCCTCCCTGCAGCTGGAAGGAGCACACAGCAAGGACAAGATCACCACTTCCCTGACACTTACCTAACCACCTTGGTTGATAAGCCAATGCCCTGAGACAGGCAGCCAGGCACCTCACTGCCAGCAGAGCAACAAAGCCCTCCAGAGAATAATTCAGAGTGTCTAAGTTAGGCTCCTGTGATGAATCACAACCTGTATCTCTCTCTGTGCCAACCACACACTTTAGTTCCTCAGATAAAACAGCTGAAGACAATAGAGAAAGTCGCTGTACTCTCTTCCCCTCTTCAGCTTTTTTCTTCCACAGGTCTGAAGAGAAAAGTCAGCATGAGCAAAGCAGGCTGCCTGCCCAGCTACGGATGTTTAGCAGCCTTTAAAATGGTTTGGCTCAGAAATTCAGAGTATCTGAATTTCTTCTTTCATGTAGCTCTTTTCAGTCACTTATTTTGAAGACATCACACCGACTATCCCTGAAATGAACCATGACCCTGTTTAAGCCAACTGTGTTCCTCCCATTTATACTCTTACTCACCAGTTAAGTTCTCTGATGCTGTGCCCAGTTCTAAGATCTTGAATTACTCTTTTTTCAAACACTCAGTACAAATTTTAAGGTATTAAAAAAACTTTCTACAAACGTAGGGCTGACATTTTCAGAAGTATTCTCTGTTTAGAAAATTCTTCACTATATTACACTACAAGATGAATTTAAGTTTAATGTTCCCAACTAGGACCACTCATTTATGCTCTGCTTTTGTTCTTTATGAGAAAGTCACTTATTCAGTTTCAGTTTGATTGCCAAGCCTGGGTGCTAAACTAACTGGGGTTTCAACATTACAAGGGAATGAAGTTATAGCCATGTATTCATTGACTTTTAAAAATCAATATAAAAATTTTATTAAAATTTTAGAAGTTTTATATAAAAAATTCCTTGCCTTTCAGAGGCAAAACCAAAACATCTTCTGATGCTCGACAGATGGCAGCAGCACACTACCACATGAGCTTAAGGAAGGGTGCAGGATCCCATCTCTTCACACCCTCCCAGGTCAGACACAACTCTCCAGACCAGGGTTATCTCTTCAGGAATGCCATGCCCTTGAGTACAGCATAACCCATCTTGGCTCTCAAAAATCCAATCGAATAAAGCAATGCAAAAGCCAGTGAAGCTGCATGCATCGTACATGGCTGCAGTGGTTCCACCCGGTGCAAACACGGGCCTCTGAAGTAACAGGCATCACATTCGTGCTGCAAGGAGTGAAACGTGCTCTTGCTCCACCACAGCTTCGTGGGTCAGCACAAGGGTCATGTCCATCGATGTCCAAGCTGCACTGCTGTGGGACTGGACTCAGCTGCACTCCTCCAGGGCAGACTTGAGGCAGAAATGAGCTCAAGCACTTTGGGGTAGAAAAGAACACAGGGCTGACCTGGGAGGACAGGCAACTCACCTTTTTCTGGAGCTTTTAAGTTATAAATGGAACAAATGGCAGGATCTGGTGGCAGTGGCAATGTCTGCTCTTTAGGTCTGGCTTTATCCCAGGCACGTCTGGGAAAGTTACACTTACTGTGTATGTATGAGGACACATCTGTCACAGCCACTGGGTTCAAGCTCTGCTCCCTCTGCCCTCCCCCTTCCTCTCCCAGCAGCCAGTCCAGCATCACTGGTGCGGCACACATCCCACCAGCACAGCCACAAAAGAGGCATCTCATTTCATCTCCCATAGGCATGGCATCATCTCCTAGCCCAGGACAGAGAGGGGCTGGGGCCAATGCTCCCCTCTGACCCTCCCCTTCTGTCCAGGGGTGAGAACACCTCTTCCCTCAGACACATTCCCAAGGAGCCCCCCAGCCCTGCTCTGTCCTCCGTCGTGGCACCAGCAGGGAGGCTCCGGCAGCACAATTCCCGCAGCGTGGGCACTGCCCGGCGGCTCCGGCACAAGGGCTCAGAGAAGACCAGGGGAGTTCCCCCCATCTCATCAAAGTGCAAGGGATTGTTCCGGGTCCCCGCCACCACCAGCTCCAGCAGGCGGACCACACAGTCTGAAAACCAGTTCTTGAGGCGGAAATAGCCCTCCTGGAAAGAGATCCGAAGGCTGACGGGCCCCGTGGGCATCCGCACGCTCAGGCTGAACAAGCAGTTCCCCTGCGAGCTGTCCCGCACCAAGTAGGTGCCTACAGGCTCTCGCTGGAGCTTGGCGTGAGCCTCCCCCACAGACAAGGGGCCCCAGTAGAAGTCACTGGCCTGGAGGATGTTGAGGGATCGTTCCAGGACTTCCCACTCGCAGCTGCGAAACATCCGGAAACGATCGGGCAAGCCGGGTGGCGCGGGGCTGGGGAGAACGCTCCGATGCTGCCTTTGCAGATGAGAAACTGTGGTGTGTGTGTTGTGCAGGTCATCTGGCCTCCCTCTGATCATCTCTCAAAGAGCCCATGAATCCTGGAAAGATGCTGCCTTTACCATGCTTCCTCCTTTGCATCCAGCCTGTGGGACAGAAGGAGAGTGAGGCAAACTCAATACCTTCTTCATCCTGGGCAAGACACTTCCAAAGGGAAAAAGACAGCAAGAGTACCAAAGAGGGTACTAAGGAGCTATTGCATGTCACCAACCCCCAGCTGCAGGGAGAACCGAGGATATATGTGCAGAAAGGGCTCCAGCTGGGTCTCCACCAGCACAAGGTGGCACTTTACAGAGCTCTGCATCCCCTGGGTTTCTGTGATTCACAGCCAGGGGTTCCTGCACACCCTCCAGCAGGCTAGTTTGAACCCAGAAGATCTCAACATTTCAAGATTTCCCCCTGCTAAACGTTCAGGACTCTTCAGAGTGGCCTTGAGATTGGAAATGACACCACAAATCAAAAGGGAAAGATTTCCAAAAGGAGGAAAGTATCATTTACTTTGTCATTCAGTGAAAGGTAGAAAGGTTTCCTCACACTTCTCCAGCCCTTTCTCCAACAAAAAGATTGGGAATGAGACTTAGCAAAAGCAGAAATCCCAGGAACCACTCCCTTGTCCCAAGACATGCCTGTTGCACTATGTCAGGAGAAAGCAAAGGTCTCACATCAAGACCTCTTCAAGAAATGTTACATCGACTTCAAGGCTGAGACTACCTTGAATGAGTTCGCTTAACACTGGTACCAGGCACTGCTGATGCCCTTCCAGAGTCTTAACTTCTGTTTCTTCCAGAAAAACTCCCCCTGCCTGCTGACAATGCTGCCCTCTCCCAGTCACCATCCTCTAATGTACTGTCACGACCCTGCTCATCTCCTGCACCTCGTTATTGTCAGGCCGTTTTCAGAAATGCAAATTTCTGAACCCAGTGTTGCCAACAGCCATCCAAGTCACTTCAATTATATTAAAAAAGTACATATTCTAAATATGTGTGTCTGTATAGGCACAAATAAAAAACCACAGCCCTAAGCCAGAAGCTCATTCTGTGCGAGAAGCTGAGCTGTAACATACCACTTCCCCAAGCCTGACAAGTCAGTAGCTCGCTGCCAAACGCTGCCCTCGCTCCCTTGACATACTCCATTAACCCAGTCATACTCACCCACAGCACAGCCATGCTTGGAGCAGAACAGAGTGCTGGCACAGCCTGCAGCAGAGGAAGAGACACACTTCATCTCCAGCAGCCCCCCCCAACACAGACTTGCCAGAGCATTGGGGCTCAGGGCTCATTTCAGGCAGGCAGCCCCCCAGGGAATGTGCAGGGACCTGTGCTGGGCTTGCTCTGCAGGGAGAGCTTCAAGTTAAGCTTAGCTCCTTGCAAGGTTCCCCTGTCTCACACCCTTTGCTAGCTACTCAAAAGCCTCACATTCCTTTTGGTGCTGGTGCCAGCTGGGTGGCCATGCTGGTGGCCACACTGTGTGCCCTGGGAGAGGACAAACATCTTTCAAGGGGCACAGTAGTTCGGGAGAGCAGGCAGGCGCCTGGCAGTGCCTCACTACAGACATCTTTTCTAGTCTAACATCTCTCTCAATACTTAACAGTAATACCAATAATGTAGCTGCCAGGCACGTTTCATATATGGAGCCATAAGCATCCTTTCCAAGAGCAAGCCTGGGAAGCTTATCCAGCTTATAGCCCTGTCATTTGCAGTCCACAAGCTGCTAACGTCCCTGGTACTGTTCTGAGTGCTGTTCATCCTGCCCTCTACTTAGTTTCATAGTAGGAGGGAAATTCCGTGCTTAGAGAAAGGTGGGAGGGGTGGGAAGGAGTTAATCAAGTTGAGTTTTTTCTTTTCCATTAAAAAAAAAAAAAGGCAGCAGTTGAAAGCTGCTCAGACCATTCAGCAAGTCAGAATAAATCTTAGGTGAAGGTGATTTAGTGAGCAGGATGCAAGCAAACACAGTCACCACTACAGCAACAAGGGCCATCTATCACCACTGAAAACTCAGCACAGAAGGCACCACAAGTAGTTGCAGCATCTCTGTCCTCTCCTTCTTCTCTCTGCTGGGTGAGGAAGCTATAGGGCCCTCTGACATCAGCTCCTATAGAAAACAAAGGTCATCCACCAGGTGCCTCCAGGGCTGTGGCTATAGCTTCAAAAGAAGTGATAAAGAACCTTCCTAAAGAGCAATTTCTCTTGGATCCAAATGGAAATTTTGCCAATTTCACGGGTAGAGATTGGAAATTTAATTCAAGCACAAAAACAGATGCAGGCAGCTGTCTTTCAATTCCAGGCTAGTTTTAAAAATAACAACAAATATATAATTTGTTTAGGGCTGTAGATTCTGTTTGACAGAAGAAAACCCCAAACTGGTTTGTCCCGGTTTTCAACCTTCAGTCATTCACCCAAGTCCTTTAAGAAAAATCCACTGCTACTAGAAATCTGACTGACTAAGAACTGAGACTGTCATCATTTCAAACTCAAAGTAAATGCAAAAATAGCACCTTGACAATTTGTTCACTTGGCTTGAAATCTACATATAGGTCAGAGCCTCAGATAGGGAGAATTTGTTTAGCTTCAGTGACCCATTTCCAAGAGGTAAGTGCCTGGCCTGCAGCACAGCATTACTTACAGTAATATTGGCCCTAGAAGTGCTTCCTGATTCTAACTTTAAGGTTCACTTTCAATGGGTCAACAAGTCCTAGGCGTACATGGCCTTCACATCAAGGAGGACGTGCAGACCCAGGATTAGGAATAAACCAAGCCAGGGGTGTAATAAAACATACATGCATAATTAGTTCTGCTGACTTATCACACCATGATTTGCTTTCCCTCTTTTCCCCTTCAAAAAAAAACGCAAAAAACCCCAACACCCAAACAAGTTACTACCTCCCTACTGCAAGTCAGAACAATGCTTGCAGTCAAAGCAACGTACCCTAAAAAGCTGGTGTCCTGCTAATGAAAAGGCTGGATAAGTTTTCCCAGACTTTCTGATTTACTGCAAGTTCAAGAGCTTTTCAAAATAAGTGCTCTTGACACAGGGCATTCTGCTTTCCTCCTCACTCATGACCCAGGCAAGGTAGGGTGTTTTATATAAGGAGACAATTCTAGTAAACCAGGGGACTGTACACATTGTGTGGTGTCAGCCAAGCCAACCCTGCACCCTGGGGCTTGACAAATCTGGCATGTTCAACATCAGCCTCAAGTACTCAGCTATGATGCATCCTCGCACTCTTCTTCTAGGACACTTGAAAAAGCTTACCTCTTTGTCTTTGCCACCCATAGGGATGAGTTTCTGAATGTCAGGACTGGAAGTGGTCCAAATTCAAAAGCTCTGATGTGGCACTTCCCAGTTTTTGCACAGCTTTACTTAAGAGCAAATCCATCCTTTGAAAAGAAAAAGACATCCATCAAGCAGGTGACTAAGCCCATTAGTTTGCTGTAATGTGGATCTAAAATACAACAAATCTGGGGACAGGTTGTTTGTCTCTATCTCTTTGATCTGTGTTACTGTAGAAACATGTATACAGCACTTCAGATAGCAACAGAGACAGCAGATTGTTGCTGCTGTTGTTATTATTGCTATTTACAAAGCCATGAGCTGATTAGGTCCAGGCAGCTTACAGGTGGCCCAAGGACAAGTGGAAAGATCATAAAGTTGCCATCATCTTCTGAAAGCAGGAACCATAAAACCCAAAAATTAAGAGATCATGGCAACAGAAATAAACCTAAGGATTCAGAACAGCAAAGTCCCAACTTGTTCTGAATACAAAACACAACATTTAGAGTATCTAATTTGATACCACACAGGTATCCATTCACTGTGACTCAATCTGTTCAGGCCCATGCTCTTCTGCCCTGCTTCCCCAGCTCTCAAGACTTTTCTTCCTCACCATGCAGACAGAAAAGCAAACCCACTGACCTGGTGGAGCAGCAGACCACCACGTATGCAGTCACGTGTCTGCCAGTGGATCCATCAGCAAGCTGAAAAAACAATCCCAGCTTTCTGCACGCCTTTCAGAGGCAGGCCCTGCACAGCTTCACTTGTACCCACATAACATTGCTTCTCTGCACCCTCCAGCCCAGCCCAGTCCAAACTGGGCACACACCCCACAAGCTACACTGACTTGCCACTAGCAAAACTGCAGGTCCATCCCATTATTACACTTTCCCATTACTGCTCCATTGGGCTTTGACATCTCCCAGATATCAACCCTGCAGTCCCCAGAGCAGTTAGATGGAGGCTGGGATAATTAGGAAAAGCTCTCCCTGACGTACCCTGCAAGCCCTTGCGACAGCGTCCCTACTGCAGGCAGCAGAGTCGGAGCAGACGTCGCTTGTTTGCACGTCCGCATCCCACAGAAATGCGCTGCCTACTGATTTGTGGCTGGGAAGGCTGCTCCAAAGGAAAGCTTGAGCAAAGGGCTGGAAGAAACCTCCCTGGTAAGAGCCAAGCACGCAGCACTGGGTTTTAATGGTAGGCCAGCCTGGTTCTCAGGCCGCCACCGCCTGCCACACACCGGCACTGGTTGGAATCGCGCTGTCACCGCCACGGTGCACGGTCACACCAAAGCCCCTCACCATGAGCACCCTGCCACAGCCAAGGTGACCAGAGCTGATCCAGAAAGGGATCATGGAGGGGGAAGGGAAAGGAGATGCACAGACATGCCAAAGAGAACAGAGGGAGCTGTGGTTAGAAGAGGAATGTGGCCCAGCTCAGCCAAGAGGACCAGTGTTAATCACAGCCAATTTCTCCAGCACAAAGCAGGCCTTGGAGACATTGCAGTTCCCTCTGTCTTTTATGCCATGGCAGTTTGATGCCATGGTGCCATTATGTCTGACACATGAGAGAATATGTGGGGAAAAAACCAAACCACACCACACATACAGACCCCAAACCAAAACTGCATTTCCCTATACAACCAGCATCCAAGGATGCAATATCAAATAAAACAAGCTGAGGCAGCACACACACTGTGGCAGTTCCTATTTCACACAGCAGAGACACAGTGCAGGAAGATCCTGCGTGTGGGCTCTGGGAATCAGCAGCTGGACATCTTGCAAGAACACTTGTCTTATCAAACACCTCCTGACATTTTGGGTCTGGAGAACATACTTCAAAACCCACAAATAACTTTCATGGATCTAATACTATTGTTTGGTACTTCTTAACATAATTTTCTATGACATGTGTTTTCTGAATTAATATGGCACTTTGCTGATAGGGGCTGAAAGGTTTTTACTCCAAGAAAACCAACAAGACTGTGATGTGTGCCAAATACTCTTCAAGGCAGGGAAGTCTGCAAGCACTTTGGTTTCTCCATGACACACATTACGAAAAACCCACCAAGGTGGCAGATTAAAGGAAAAACTAATTGTCTTTACTGGGCTAACTGAAGCAGCAGGAAGAAAGACATCCATTTTTAGGGTTCCCTCTTCAAGCCTTGGAAATGCTATGCACTTTCAGAAATACTTTCAAATAAAAGCCTATTCCTCATCTAAATAGTCCAATGTGAAACTATAATCCTGCAATTTCAGAACAGAGAAGCGTCATCACTTCCCTGAACTCAGAGGCTGCTCTGCAGTAGCCACAAGCAACTACAGCTTATTCCACAGCAAGTAAAACTAACAAAACTACCATCTGACTTCTGACAAAAACATCTTCTACTGAAGACTGAATTATTTCTGCCTTCTCCTGTAACTGGGGAAACAAGAAGAAAAAACAGAAAAAGGAAATCAGGAGGAGTTACTACTAAGTTCCAAAGCTGCAGCTGAGCCTATCCTGCTATGGCTTAAGCAAAGACAGTTTTTGCTTGCCTCTGGCCAACAGCATTTTTGGTAAGTGAGGGAAGCCCAGTGGCGTTGCTCCTGACCTTTGCAGTATCACAGCGAGCAGCCATTCCTGTGAATGTCAGCGCTGCACAGCTACACAAAACTCAGCCCTGTGCTTGGCCAGGGAACACAGAATCTGTGCTGCTGCCTTGCCATCCCTCCCTCCACACCACACACCGGCTCAGGAAGCAGCCCTCTGGAAAGGTGGCTGGAGCTCTCCCCACTTTGGGGGCAGAAACAAGGAGACAGCGAGAGGGCACAAGGAGGAAGAAGAAAGAAGCCAAGATAACAGCAGTCCCTCAAGTCTCCCTACTTGAACTGCTCTGTCCCATCTCCCTGCTGAGAGGGGGATCAGCGGGAGGGAGGTAGCGATGCCCAGGGCTGCCTCCAACCCACCATGGCTCCTCAGCATTACCAGCGTCCCCCACCCCCAGACCAGCAGCACAGGTACATTTCCTCTGCCTCTCTCTACTAAACGGACTTTGTTCCAGAACCCTGTTTGAGGAAATGAGTAAATCCTGAGACACAAAGGCCATCAGTGGTCCCTGTGCCGACCACAACCAGAGCTTTTTATAAAAACCATCACACTAAGCCTGAAAGGAATTCAAAGAAGCAGCTAACTCTGAGGAATTAGCAGTGTCTGCAGCTAAAGCTGGTTCAGTATCCTTACCAGAACGACGCTGCTAGAGGAGTCTCAGATGATTAACCAACAGGAGCACAGGGGGACAAGGGAAACACCCTGCCTTGGCTCTTCAGGAGGACCAGCTTCAAAAGATGTGAGGAGCCTTTATGCAGCACCAGTTACTGTGCCTTCAGAGCAAAGGGCAAGGGTCAGAAAGCACAGGCAGACCACAACACTAAGTTTTATAGTGGGGGATTTCCAACACACAAAATAAAGAAACTAGTCCTGAGAGTCAAAAGTACAAAGAATAAAAATTAAAAAAAAAAAAAAAAAGAAGTCATGAAAAGTTATTTAGGAAATCTTAAGTGACAGAGCATGCAGAGCTCCCACAAATGACAGCACAGAGATGCTGCCTGAGGCTTGGGGACAATACAGGACACACTGCAGGTATCATTGTAGGTGCAACAGCTGGCAAGGGCTTCTGCTGTGCATCAGAGACATCAAACACACACACTACAAAACCACAGTCCCTATTCAAATCTCTCTCTAACCTCAATAACCCTTCAGAAGATGAAAAAATAATCCTGGAGGAGCCAATATAAAGGAATATAAATTATTGACAGTAGGGAACAAAGTTATATGAGGATGGCTGTCATGAAACTGGGACAGTAGGTGGCCAAGATAAACAAAACAAAACCCAGAAAACATATGGCATTTCCAGTTTATCAAAACCAGAAAACCTCGGGGGGAATCATTTAGTTGAGTGAGATACCAGCTAGTGGGACAGGGACACTGCAGTAAAGTTACACAATCAAGCAGGTATTATTTTTTTCTTGCACAGGATGTTGAGGAGATTTCCCAGTATTTAATGCTGATTAACCTGAAAGGAAAAACAAGAGTGTTCTATCAGAAAAGACAGGGAAAAGTGACATTAAAGCAGAAAGCAAGCCGGGCACGGTGGACTATACCTGGAGATTTGGAACTGGAAGTGGATGGTTGAGATACAAAGAGAAGTGTTCCCTCAAGCAAATCAGCTGCACTAGCAATTGCCAGAGTGCTGCAAGTATTGGAATGAACTTTTTTTGACATGTGCTGCTAAGGCAGGAGCAGCACAAGGCTACCTGGTGTGGGGGGAGAACCAACTCCCAGGCAGAGTTCCCCATCAGGCAGATGGCACCTGAAGAAGCAACAGATGACAGGACACACTTTGTGCTTCCCCAAAGCAAGTCAAAAAGCAAGACAGCTACACGAGCTAAAGAGTCAGCAGCACGCCAGGAACTGTACCAGCAGATGGGCAGAAGGCATGGGGCAGTCATGCCACAGGGTGAACGGAAGAGGGATGGCCAGAGGAAACCAAGGCATTTCAGCCCCTGCACATCTGGTCACCTCTCTGCCACCCTCCCAGCCACTGCATCTTTCCCCTGGTTTGACTCAGCCCACTTTGCAGAGCATCCCACCTCACTCCTCAACATGCTGGTGGGTACAAGCAGCCCAAAGGTTCCCCCATCTTTTATGCAAGCAGCTCCCTCCCCCCGACTGTGCAAACTCACAGGTTGACCCAGGTCTCTTCCTAGAATTGTCTCTCCATCTTCAAGCTGTCATTACCCAGAACACCCCCAAGGCTTAACCTTGCTCCCCAGCAGGCAGCTCACAGCCTCGTGTTACTTAAATCTAGGCAGACAACTCAAAATGTAGTGAGCCCTCTCCATCGCCTTCCCAGGGTAAACAGTGACAAAATCACTTCACTCCCTGCAGGACAGAGAAGTCAGAGGTCATTAAAAATTTGTCAGCAGGAAAGCAGCAGGAGGTCAGGCAAGACTCTGTCCTGACACACGCAAATGCACGCAGGCTTGTGGAAAAACCAGCTGGGTCTATCTTTT